AACAATAGCACATCAACATAAAAACATATAAACATAAATCTGAAAGCGTTGCTCAAACTCCCGTAGCAGTCCCGTTATTTTATCTTTGAACCGCTTCATGTCTGCCACATGTTGGGTCGCGCACACATTTTTCAGACAGGGGAAGTGAGCTGCATCACCACCGGCAAGTTGCGTCTCCCACAATGACAGCTTCAACTTGAAAGAACGTATGCTGTCATAATACTGCGTGACAACTTTGTTGCGCCCTTGCAGCTGTTTGTTCAAGTTATTCAGGTGCTCTGTAACATCCACCATAAATGCAAGGTCCTGCATCCATTCTGCGGAATGAAATTCTAACACTGGTTTGCCCTTTTCTTCCATGAACTGTTCAATTTCTTCTCGTAAATCAAAGAAACGCCTCAGCACAGCACCTCGGCTTAACCATCTTACCTCAGTGTGGTATGGCAGGCCATAGATGTGGTCTTTCTCTCTGAGAAGGCTGTCAAACTGACGGTGATTCAGGCTTCTGGATCGGATGAAATTAACAGTTTGGATGACCACCTTCATGACGTTATCCATCTTTAATGACTTGCAACACAAAGCCTCCTGGTGCAAAATACAGTGAAAAGTCAAAAAATCACGTCCTCCATTTGCAGATTGCACTTTCTCTCTGAACTTTGTCACAACGCCTGCTTTTTTCCCGATCATTGAGGGCGCACCATCTGTAGCCAGGCTGACAGCGCGAGACCAGTCCACTCCGACCCTGTCCAGCGCGCCGACGAGTGCGGTAAAAATATCAGCTGCTGTCGTTGTATCTGTCATCGGCACCAACTCCACGAACTCCTCGGTGACGGTCAATGTGTCATCAACTCCGCGGATGAAAATGGCCAGTTGTGCAACATCTGTAATGTCCGTGCTTTCATCAATTGCAACCGAAAACGCAATAAATGACTTTACTTTTTGCTTCAACTGGCTGTCCAAATCCACTGAAAGATTGGAAATCCTGTCTGCAACTGTGTTTCTTGTCAGGCTGATATTTGCAAAAGCCTGCCGCTTTTCAGGGCACACAATCTCCGCTGCCTTCATCATGCATGTTTTTACAAATTCACCCTCACTAAATGGTTTTGAAGCCACTGCGATTTCATTAGCAACGAGGTAGCTAGCTTTCACTGCAGCGTCACTGATGTCTCGGCTGTGAGTAAACACAGACTGCTGTTTCTTCAGACCCGCCAACAGTTCATTCACCTTCTCTCATCTCCGCTGTCCTTGAAAGTTGTCATATTTGTCGGCATGAAGACTCACATAGTGGCGACGAAGGTTATATTCTTTCAGCACTGCAACATGCTCTGAACACACCAAACATACAGCTTTCCCATTCAATTCCGTGAATAAATAGGATGACCATTTTTCTTGGAACACTCTGCACTCTGCGTCCACTTTTCTCTTTTTTGACAGAGACATATTGGGGCAATGAGGGTGCCAAAGCACATAATGTTAAAAGTAGAAGCCGTAATAAATATCGCGGGCAAAACAAAGTAGCTCATTGGCTGCACGTGCTTGACCTACTTGCTCTGCCCCGATATAAACAGTTTGCTTGCTTAACACAATTGCTATTGCGCCAGCCAGTGGACGCAATTGGAACAGCAGTTTATTTTATTGAAAAATTGCAGCGCATTTTTATACTTTACAAATTTTCTTTTTTTTTTATTTTTTTAATTTTTTTTTCAAAATCATCTCGCGGGCCGGATTAAACCCGTTTGCGGGCCTGATCCGGCCCGCGGGCCGGACGTTTGACACCCCTGATGTAAACACTCCTGTGTGTTTGGCCTCTTTTATAGTGAGTGTTGGTGAAACATTTCTCGTACTGTGTGATTACAAGGTCACGATCGTCCTTTCTGCTGTCTGTCTAGAGCACACCACGATCACCTTATCATTTCCTATCGCAACAGGAAGGAAAGCATGGCCACATTTACAATGCCTTCAGAAAGTATTCATACCCCTTAACTTATTCCACATTTTGTTGTTACAGCCTGAATTTAAAATTGATTAAATGTATTTTCTCTCACCCGTCTACACACAATAACCCATAATGACTAAGTGAAAACATGTTTGTAGCAATTTTAGCACATTTATTGAAGATTAAACACAAAAATATCTAATTTACATAGGTATTCACATCCCTGAGTCAATACATGTTAGAATCACCTTTTGGCAGCGATTACAGCTGTGAGTCTTTCTGGGTAAGTCTGTAAGAGCTTTGCACACCTGGATTGTACTATATTTCCAAATTTTTCTTTTGAAAATTCTTCAAGCTCTGTCAAGTTGGTTGTTGATCATTGCTAGACAGCCATTTTAAGTCAAAACTGTAACTAGGCCACTCGGGAACATTCAATGTTGTCTTGGTTAGCAACTCCAGTGTATATTTGGGCTTGTGTTTTAGGTTATTGTCCTGCTGAAAGGTGAATTTGTCTCCAAGTGTCTGTTGGAATGCAGACTGAACCAGGTTTTTTTCTAGGATTTTGCCTGTGCTTGGCTCTATTCCATTTCTTTTTATCCTAAAAAACTCGCTAGTCCTTGCCGATGACAAGCATACCAACAACATGATGCAGCCACCACCATGCTTGAAAATATTAAGTGTGGTACTCAGTTATGTATTGTTGGCTTTGCCCCAAACGTAACACTTTGTATTCAGGACATAAAGTTCATTTATTTGCGACATTTTTTGCAGTGTTACTTTAGTGCCATATTGCAAACAGGATGCATGTTATGGAATCTTTTTTATTCTGTATAGGCTTCCTTCTTTTCACTCTGTCATTTAGGTTAGTATTGTGGAGTAACTACAATGTTGTTGATCCATCCTCAGTTTTCTCCTATCACAGCCATTAAACTCTTAAGTGTTTTACAGTCACCATTGCCCTCATGGTGTAATCCCTGAGTGGTTTCCTTATTCTCTGTCAACTGAGTTAGGAAATACGCCTGTATCTTTGTAGTGACTGGGTGTATTGATCCAAAGTGTAATTAATAACTTCACTATCCTGAAAGGGATATTCAATGTCTGCTTTTTTGTTTTTACCCATCTTCCAATAGGTGTCCTTCTTTGCGAGGCATTGAAAACCTCCCTGGTCTTTATGGTTGAATCTGTGTTTGAAATTCACTGCTTGACTGAGGGACCTTACAATTATCTGTATGTGGGGTACAGAGATGAGGTAGTCAATAAAAATAATGTTTAACACTATTATTGCACACAGTGAGTCTATGCAACTTATTTAGTGACTTAAGTAAATCTGTATTTATTTAGGCATGCCTTAATGATGGGATTGAATACTTATTGACTCAAGACATTTCAGCTTTTCATTTTTAATTATTTTCTAAAAGTTTCTAAAAACATAATTCCACTTTGACATTATGGCGTATTGTGTGTAGGCCAGTGACACTAAATCTCAATTTAATCCATTTTAAATTCAGGCTGTAACACAACCAAATGTGGAAAAAGTCAAGGGGTGTGAATACCTTCTGAAGGCACTGTATACTTCTATAAATATTTAAGCAAAGCACACATGGTGGTAAATAGCCAGACCATACAACACATTCTTCTAGTCCAGTTCACAATGCCTGAATAAAATTTAGTTTATTTCCTGAAGGTTGTTCATCTGTGGGGTCCAGTTTGGACTGATTAGTCATTCTGATACGGAATAAGCATTTAGAATTGTTTTAGTTCATACAAAACATTAGTCTTTTTAGGAAGGTAAATGCACCCTTTGAACATCTAAAGTCAAGGATTCCAGCCATGCTGTGAACTGTATTGAATGTAAAGAAGGGGGAATTGAACAGTAAAGACAAAGGCTGCTTACGTAACTAGGCCTCATGTGGCTTTGCCCTTGTTTGGTACACTTGAGTCCCCTTGACCTGCTCTGGGTCTGTGGCCACCAATTCCTACCTCTTTTTTATTGCTGTCTGGCAGCCAGTAGAGCAGTCAACAGACAGACAGACTGGCAGGCCTACCAGCAGGGTTTATTGTGTTGTTGGCCCAGTAACCGCAGCAGCACGTGACCGGCAACTCTCAGGAACCCCTGACAAACACTGAGGCTCCTCTCTCTCACACACACACACACACACACGTCTATCTGTGCAGGCTGGAGGAGAGGTCTGTGTGTATGCTACAGAGACAGTCATCTATAAGGTCATAACCGATCATCTAAGGCAGTGGTATTCTAACGTTTTCAGCAGGAACCCCATTTTTTTCTGCAATAATTTCTCCCAACCCCACCCCAAATCTGATGACACAAACTTAAAATCAGTAAATGTAGATTTTTACATCAACAAATAACCTTCAATTCATTACATTTTAATCTCTTATCAGAATGAAAAGAAACAAATAAATACATTTACTCAATAGTTTTTCTTCTAATTATCTTTCTCCAAAACTTTTCTATATTGTCCCATACAATAATCTGTGTTCCCCCGACTTTAAATACCACTGATCTAAGGCCATAGTGTTCACTTTATTTCCTCCCAGGTGTAATGCATTAATAGAAGTCACCATATGGACAGGAATGATTGTATTCAGTGTAAAGAATAACTTTGTTATGTGATTAACTGTAAGACTGTGCAGCCCTGCAGCAGCATAGATTATTACCCCTGATCTAGAGAGTGTATGAGTGTGTACCCTGTGGGTTTCCTGTGCTTTACACAGACCTCTCCTTTCCTTTTTACTGTTAAGGCTAGCAGGCCATTTACAGAGTTGTTACACTCTGATGCCTAGGGAATGGTTCTCTTGGTTTTTTTTTAACGGAAATTAGCCTAACTGAAACCAGAACGCCACTTTTATTCACAGCCTAAACACCAGCCATGTTTTGATCCAATTGTGCTTTCAAACATTTCCATAGCCAAATAATGTAAATTGCAGGAGCAGGACATTGTTTAACATTCAATGTAGTAAGGCAAACACTCATGTATGTGTATATGTTATAATGAAACTGATGATGATCATGTAGAACTCTGTTCTGTTTGTCTGTGTTCAGCTTCCGTTTGAGAAGGAGGTCTACTACATTCAGCATTCCATGCTCTACCTGGTGCCTGTATACCTCTTCAGGAAAGGAGGTACGTGCCATCTTCTTTTGCACTTATGGAATTCTGTACTTTGTTGTCTCCATTCCATGGGTGCTTCACTAGAAATGAAACCATCTTGAGTTACTCATCACTGCTACCTTAACTCAACCAATCAAAACCCTTCTCCCAGTTGTGAGATTGTTGCACTTAGGCGGAGACCTGGGGAAAACTGATAAGACTGCCATCTAGTGTAGAGATGCCATTCTTGGAACCGGTTTCAAGTTTTATTGTCACATGCACAAGTACAGTGAAATGCCTTTCTTGCAAGCTATAAACCCAACAATGCAGTAATCAATAACAATGTAATACTAAAAAATAACACAAGGTAGAACAGAAACACACAAGAAAAGAACATCAGAAAGTAAGTAAGCATGCTATATACAGGGTCAGTTCCAGTACCATAATGTGCAGGGATACTGGAATGGTAGGGGTAGATATGTATATGGGTAAGGTGACTAGGCATCAGGATATGTGATAAACAGAGCAGCAGCAGTGTATACGATGATTAAATGTGAGTGTGTGTGTGTGTGTAGAGTCTGTATAAATGTATGTGCATATTATGTGTGTGTGTGTTGGAGTGTCCGTGTGCAGGACCCTGTGAATGTGCATAGACAGTGCAAAATGAAATACAAGGGTCAACTCAGTCTGTGTAGCAATTTAGTTAGCCAGTTAGCAGTCTTATGGCTTGGGGATAGAAGCTGTTCAGGAGCCTGTTAGTGTCAGACTTGATATACTGGTATTGTTTGCAGTGCGGAAGCAGAGAGAACAGTCTATGGCTTGGGTGGCTGGAGTCTGGCTGGAGATTGTCCCGGCCTTCCTTTCACACCGCCTGATATAGAGGTCCTGGATGGCAGGGAGCTCGGTCCTAGTGATGTACTGGACGTTCTGCACCACCCTCTGTAGCGCCATGCAATCTAGGGCGGTGATATTGCCACAGCAAGTAGTGATGCAGCCAATCAAGATGCTCTCAATGGTACAGCTGTATAACTTTTTGAGGATTTGAGGGCCCATGCCAAACCTTTTCAACCTGCCTTCTTCACGACTGTGCGCGTCAGCTCCTTTCTGACATTGAGGGAGAGGTGTTCAGTCCCAGGATCCTAAGCTTGGTGACGAGCTTGGAGGGGACAATGGTGTTGTAGTCAATGAACAGCATTCTCACATTGGTATTCCTACTTATCTAGGTGGGTGAGGGCCGTGGAAGTGCAATTGAGATTGCGTCGTCTATCGATCTGTTGGGGCGGTATGCAAATTGGAGTGGGTCTGGGATGATGGAGTTGTGTTCCATAACCAGCCTCTCAAAGCACTTCATGATTACAGATGTGAGTGCTACAGGGTTGTAGTCATTGTGGCATGAAGCCTTAGAGTTCTTGGGAACAGGAATGATGGTGGTCATCTTAAAACGTGTGGGGATTACAGACTGGGACAAGGAGAGGTTGAAAATTACCATGAAGATGCCCGCCAGCTAGCTGTTCTGCGCATGGCCTCAACACCAGTGTTAACATTCCATTTATTTTTATTTTTTTAAAGATGTGATTATAATCCATGTTTAACATCAAAACATAATATGAGGAAGAATTTACCTGACAACAATTCAGAAGAAAATAGACTATGGTGGCCTATGTTGTTCAAATTAGCTCCCCAATTGACAACAAAAGCCTAGACTACAATTTCAACGAAGAGAATGGAATGAGCTCTCAGTCTGTGATTTACCATTTCTCTCCAATACAGTTAAGAAGCAAAACTGCTTAAAATGTAACCGCTATGACAGCTTGAAGGAAAATCGATAAGATCACAAACACCCTGGCTCCTAACAAATTCACACCAATTTGGAACAACCAAGTCCGTATCATACACGTATAACATATCTTTGAACATAAGGAAGGATTCATATCCCTCAACAATAGGGGTGAGCTGTCATAGCAGCTTCACTGTGTACTAGATGTATAAATGAAAAGTTGCTTTCCAAAGAGCTGTGTGGAGGCGAGCTAAACAACAACACTACAACCAAGCCCATAGTTGTACTTTAGAGGAGTTAACTATAGGCTATGACTTAATGTTGCCTGGTGGTAACATCTGTATTTGATAGGATACTGCTCTGTCAATTATACAGTGGAATTTGTGAGTCACTCTCTGCCCCGAGTCCCAAAGGCGGGGAGGGGAACTCCATGCATTCTGCTCCACTGGCTGATGTGAAATGTCTGTGAGACAAAGAGAGCGCTCAAAGTCCTAGCCAAGCTCATGATGACTCTGTGATCAGGAATCTCTGTGTATCTGGGTGTCTGTAGTGGCTCTCTGTGCATTGTGATGGAAGAGTCCTATCTAGTCCACTGGGCTTTGGGTTGAGAGCAAGCGAGGGAACAATGAATGGAGGGCTTGTTCCCTCAGCTCCCCCTCCCCTCTCCACCCCTCCGCTCCGTTCCAGGCTCTGTGCTGCTGGGCTGTCTCTCTCCGGCCCGGCCTTAATTGACTCTGTCTCGACTAGAGCACAGGGGTGGAGAAATGGCCTCAACACATGGACCTGTTTTAAATCAATCCTCTGTTGGAGAGACACCCACAGGCCCAGAGAGAGGAGGAGGGGTACAGGGGGAGTCTATGGTTGGGAAGGGCCTCATGAATGCAAAGGCTGCATGTGATTATTCTTGTGAAACAGCAAACAAGCTAGACACCACCATCCCTAGTCAGCACTGGTTTTGAACAAAGTGGGAAAGCAAGGTCTCTGGAAGAAAAAGATCCACAGCCAGCTGCATTCTTTGAAGGGGGAGTAAGAAACCAATAGTGATTAATCTCCCAGGCAATAAACTAAAAGCAATCCATAACTAGATTTTCAGCTCTGTGTGTTTTGTATAATGTTCATACATTGTCTATTCTCTCCCCCCTGCAGGCGTGTACAAACCGGAGCCCCTAAGGGATATGTGGTGGGCTATCCTCTCTACTGGCATCTTGTTCCTCTATCACTTCCTGTTCCTGCAGGGCCTGGGCCTGGTAAGAGACTGAGGGAGCCCTCTACTGGACACCCGGTGAAACACCTCCCCTCTCTCTTAAAGGAGAGGCCAGTAACATGAGGCACATGACACAGATAGACAGGATGTTGACAAGATTGTACCCTACAGACATAGATCATATATATTGATACTAGGGAGGTTAACCATTAATCGGTTAGTTAGCTGAAAATATATTTGACTGACCATGCTTATCTCTATAAGTTAATTTGCATAATTTAGTGGAATTACATTGGCGCCTGTGTTGTCGTTAGTCGTCATGTATCTTATTTATCACACGCGCACAGCATACAGACCTTAGTTTGAGGAGCAGAACAGCCTATCACCTGTCAGTCAGCGCGAGAGCAGCCCCTCAAAAAGCTGGTACTGAAGTGAAACATGCAGTCATTGCACAAGAAATAACAATTCTAAATGCAATCGCGTGTTAACTATTATGATGACCATGATTTAAGAGAGACTATTTTTATTTCTCAATCTCAACTCAACTCTAATTAAAGTGCGCCTCCATTCTCCATTCGAGTGCATAGGCTATAGTCAACGGTAGGCAGGCTATCAGCGCGTCACCCACCACTTTACAATGGGTGCATCAGGCAATATAATTGTTTGAAACCTTAACATTTTACTTTACTTCAAATAATGAGGAATGTCTTACCTTGCGTCAAAGTAGCCTAGCCAAAATCCAACGATGGAAATGTGGAGTCAATTATTTTATAAAGACTTCCTTATGCCATTAACCAGCATTTATCGCCTGTTCTACTGGTTTTCATATCTACTTTCTTTCGTTGTTCAGAAGCAAAAGGCGCAATCCTAGTCATATTAGCATATTTCTAAGGGAGATTTTCATCTGTCACATATGGAGCCGCTCGCATTAGATGCGCTGTTTAGAACGGTGTTTCCCGCAAATTGCATTTTGGCAGATGTTTGACAAAGTTTTATTAGCTGTTTCATTACAGCCGTTGCATGTTCAATAATAGACTATATAGCCTTTTGACTGTAAGACGATATGCTTGCTATTGTTGCATATTTTCATTAACATGCAAAAATGGCAAGATCCGCATACAGCTGGTGCACCACAAACAGCAGTTACAGTGCTTTGCAAAAGTATTCATCCCCCGTGGCGTTTTTCCTATTTTGTTGCATTACAACCTGTAATTTAAATTGATTTTTATTTGGATTTCATGTAATGGACATACACAAAATAGTCCAAATTGGTGAAGTGAAATGAAAAAAAAATAACTAGAAAATTAATAACGGAAAAGTGGTGGTTGCATATGTATTCACCCCATTTGCTATGAAGCTCCTAAATAAGATCTGGTGCAACCAATTACCTTCAGAAGTCACATAATTAGTTAAATAAAGTCCAGCTGTGTGCAATCTAAGTGTCACATGATCTGTTACATGATCTCAGTGTACATATACACCTGTTCTGAAAGGCCCCAGAGTCTGCAACACCACTAAGCAAGGGGCACCACCAAGCAAGCGGCACCATGAAGACCAAGGAGCTCTCAAAACAGGTCAGGGACAAAGTTGTGGAGAAGTACAGATCAGGGTTGGGTTATAAAAATAAAAATAAACTTTGAACATCCCACGGAGCACCATTTAAATCCATTATTTAAAAAATCTAAGAATATGGCACCACAACAAACCTGCCAAGAGAGGGCCACCCACCAAAACTCACAGACCAGGCAAGGAGGGCATTAATCAGAGAGGCAACAAAGAGACCAAAGATAACCCTGAAGGTGCTGCAAAGCTCCACAGCGGAGATTGGAGTATCTGTCCATAGGACCACTTTAAGCCGTACACTCCACAGAGCTGGGCTTTACGGAAGAGTGGCCAGAAAAAAAGCCATTGCTTAAAGAAAGAAATAAGCAAACACGTTTGGTGTTCGCCAAAAGCCATGTGCGAGACTCCCCAAACATATGGAAGAAGGTACTCTGGTCAGATGAGACTAAAATTGAGCTTTTTGGCCATCAAGGAAAATGCTATGTGCTAAAGCAACAATTGAGTGGTTTAAGGGGAAACATTTAAATGTCTTGGAATGGCCTAGTCAAAGCCCAGACCTCAATCCAATTGAGAATCTGTGGTATGACTTAAAGATTGCTGTACACCAGCGGAACCCATCCACCTTGAAGGAGCTGGAGCAGTTTTGCCTTGAAGAATGGGCAAAAATCCCAGTGGCTAGATGTGCCAAGCTTATAGAGACATACCCCAAGAGACTTGCAGCTGTAATTGCTGCAAAAGGTGGCTCTACAAAGTATTGACTTTGGGGGGGGTGAATAGTTATACACGCTCAAGTTCTGTTTTTTTGTCTTATTTCTTGTTTGTTTCATAATAAAACATATTTTGCATCATCAAAGTGGTAGGCATGTTGTGTAAATCAAATGATACAAACCCCCAAAAAATCCACTTTAATTCCAGGTTGTAAGGCAACAAAATAGGAAAAATGCCAAGGGGGGTGAATACTTTCGCAAGCCACTGTTAGTCTATTGAAGGTAAACAGCAGTTAAGTCTATTGAAGGCAAAACACAAAGCTTAAAGCTCTTAATGAAAAATGTCTGTTCCTTGTATGCATGCATAGTATTTTCTGTTGGTCACGTCATTTTAATGTTTGGAAAAATGTTTACAAACGTTGGCCAGTTAATGAGGGTTGGTTAGTCGGAAGCAGAATTGACCGAAATGTGCATCCTTAATTGATACAGCATTTCTACAGGACACAGGCAGTAAAGTAAGATAAAACAGGATTGCAGGACAGTGATTCAAATAAGATGCAACATAATACAGGATGCTGGATGGATACAGAAGCTGGATAGAGAGCTTGCGTGACGAACTTGAGTAAAGATACAGTGCCTTCAGAAAGTATTTACACCCCTTGACTTTTTCCACATTTTGTTACACAGCCTGAAATTAAAATTGATTAAATTGAGATTGTTGTGTCACTGATCTACACACAATACCCCATTATGTGAATGTGGAATTATGTTTTTAGAAATGTTGCATGGACTCTATGCGCAATAATAGTGTTAAACATAATTTGTGAATTACTACCTCATCTCTGTACCCCACACATACAATTATCTGTAAGGTCCCTCAGTCGAGCAGTTTCAAACACAGATTCAACCACAAAGACCAGGGAGGGTTCCCAGTGCCTCGCAAAGAAGGGCACCTATTGGTAGATGTATTATTTTTTTAAGCAGACATTGAATATCCATTTGAGCATTGTGAAGTTATTAATTACATTGTGGATGATGTATCAATACACCCAGTCACTACAAAGATACAGCCGTCCTTCCTAACTCAGTTGCCAGAGAGGAAGGAAACCGCTCAGGGATTTTAGCATGAGGCAAATGGTGACTGTAAAACACTTAGAGTTTAATGGCTGTGATAGGAGAAAACTGAGGATGGATCAACAACATTGTAGTTACTCCACAATACTAACCTAAATGACAGAGTGAAAAGAAGAACGCCTGTACAGAATAACTACAAAGAATTTGGCTAAGAAATTAACTATGTCCTGAATACAAAGCGTTATTTTGGGGGCAAATCCAGCACATCACTGAGTACCACTTGTCATATTTTCAAGCATGGTGGTGGCTGCACCATGTTATGTGTGTGCTTGTCATCGGCAAGGACTAGGGAGTTTTTTTATGATAGAAAATAAACGGCATAGAGCTAAGAACAGGCAAAATCCTAGAAGAAAACCTGGTTCAGTCTGCTTTCCAACAGACACTGGGAGACACATTCACCTTTCAGCAGGACAATAACCTAAAACACAAGGCCAAATATACACTGAAGTTGCTTACCAAGACGACATTGAATGTTCCTGAGTGGCCTAGTTACTGTTTTGACTTAAATCGGCTTGAACGTCTATGGCAAGGCTTGAAAATGGCTGTCTAGCAATGATCAACAACCAACTTGACAGAGCTTGAAGAATTTAAAAAATAATATTGTACAATCCAGGTGTGCAAAGCTCTTAGACACTTACCCAGAAAGACTCACAGCAGTAATCGCTGCCAAAGGTGATTCTAACATGTATTGACTTAGGTGTGTGAATACTTATGTACATTTCTAAAACATTTAGTCATTATGGGGTATTGTGTGTAGATGGGTTAGAAATCTATTTAATCCATTTTGAATTCAGTCTGTAACAACAACAAAGTGTAATAAGTCGAGGGGTATGAATACTTTCTGAAGGCACTGTACATGACACACTAGCATGACTAATGAGTTGTGTGACAGAGCTGACTGCTCTTCTCTCTTATAGCCTGACTGAAGACACGAATGAAACAAACACCAAGCAAGGCCTCTGTTTCTCCTAGCTAGTCTCTCACTTCTGTCTCTTTCTGTCCCTCTTCCCAGATGACCGAGGTCAACCTGAACAACATGTTGTGTCCAGCGGTGTCGGACCCATTTTACGGGCCTTGGTACCGGGTTTGGGCTGCGGGTCACCAGACCCTGCTGACCCTGGTTCATGGGAAGGCCCTGACCCTCTTCTCCTACCACACCGGCCCCACCTGCAGGTACCTGCTGGACACCGCCAGACTGCGCAGCAAGGTCGACTGAACAGACAGACATACGGACTCACACGGACGTAGCTTTTTTATATGTTGGGATTTTCTATCAACATTTTTAATGCATCTTGTACCACTTACCATATATTTTTTTTTACTGTAATGAAATAGGCATTTCAGGGTCAATGAAACAGTGTAATTATTTTAGTGTTAGAGCTGGCTTGCATTATTTGCATGCACACATGATGGGAAGACTGCTAGAGGTGGTAGTTATTGGTGTGTGTGGCTGGCCAGGTGAAATGTCCTTTTGTTTCGGTCAGATTTCCTGAACATGAGTTACTGATGTTTCTAAAAGTTACTCTTTATTTCTAAAGTTGCCTTTTGTAGTTATGTTCAGAAAAATGGGGCTAACCCAGATATCACTGAATTGTCATCATTACTGTACACTTTAAACTATTCATTTGTGCTTGCCATGACAGTTGGCCCAGGTATGGGTCATGTTGCCATTTTGTGTTTGTATTTAAGAAAACATTGTTTAATCCATTGTAAAAAAAACATCACTTAGTGATATTTTGTCTGTTTGAAGAGTAACGGTTGTGAAGCAGCTGTCTCTGTCATATCTGTGGTCACAGCCTCTTCTGACAAGGAGAAACCTGTTCCTCACATCTTCTCCTTTGCTGGATCAAGTGGTATATCTAAAAGAGGCTCCCGCTTATGTATCCCATCTCTCCATCACTGATTTTACAAAACTGCGGAGGTGAAAGAAAGGATGTAGGCGGCGTTTTTATAGACAATGCAGACAAGTGTCTGTCCTGTCGGATCATTATGGATGAAGGGAAATTACAGGAAGGTATCTTGATGTAGGTATTTGGATACAACATGGTTGTCAAAAGGGTGAGAGGAGCAATGCCCTGTGCCTGTTGAGAGAGACAGAGATCTTAGAGGTAGAGATGGCTTTCAGAGATGATTTAATTAAATTGATTTAGGGCTATAATCAATCCGTATCGCGGATGTTTGGCGTTACAGCGTGATTGAAATGTGAAGGCAATGTTCCTGCGTTGGCGGTAAATGCTGCATATGTTGGCTTCAGCGATACAGATTGAAAATAGCCTTTATTGATCATGGGGCATATTCAGTGGGGCACAGCTATCAAGGTTGCAGTTTTTTTTTTTTTTAAGTGTAATGTCGATAATTCTCTATCAAATGCCTGTTCTATACATTACACTTAACTCTACATTGAGTGTTGGGGCCCAGGTTATTTTTAAGGGGCAGCCCAATTTCAGTCCATATCATGTACCCCAATATACACAGGTTCTATATAACCGATCACATACTTTGTTTTAATGTATCTGTTTTTTGATTACCTGCAAATGACCTGCATAGCTCTACTTTGGGACAGTCATTGGGAATCCCTGTTTTAAGGGAAATATCGTTTTTTTTTAAGGGGTTTTAAATACAATTTCCTATTCCCCATCACGTCGATCGCTCCCATTTTGTAATGAGGGATTTTTGTGTTACTTTACTAGTACACATTACAAAAACAAGGGATATGGTATACTTTTGTACACTTTTTCTGGGTGGATGTGCACTGTATTGACAATAAATGTGATTTCTGCCCTTAAATTGTCTTCTCGGTGAATAGCTCAGGAACTAATAAATAATTAATTGGGTTTATATAGCACTTTTCCAGTGCTCAAAGCGATTTAAATAGTAAGGGGGTAAAACCAATGTGTACCACCAACTACATTATTTCCTTCCCATTACTAAGGACTTAGTATTATCCAAGCTGTAAATATAACCTTGTTTATTGTATAACATTCAACCAGGCTCAAACTCAGATTATAATACCAAATACGTTATGTCATAACGTAATAAAACACCCATTACACAAAACGTGCACAAACACAATTTCGTATCTTTTCACTTTTTTTATTGGATAAATGATTTTAAAAGGTAATAACAATGTTTAAAACTACATTATCTCCACAGCCATTGCTCACATACCCACTGATAACCCATCTATATATATATATATATTTAAGATCTTCTCCCCACACAGTTTTTTTTTTTGGGGGGGGGTGGGGGTAATATTTTGTATTTTTGGGGGGAGCCATACGATCATAAATGCCCATTTCAAGTCTCATCACACTAACAGCAATTCAATGGGGAAGGAAGGAGGATCTAGCTCTAAAGGTAAGTCGTTTATTTCCCAGTTCATATTATTCAATCAACATTTTCAAGTTGAGAAAGTGAACCAAAAATGTAAAGTAGAAGAAATAAAAAGGTGGGTGGGGGGTTACGCCAGGCAACCCCACATCCCGTCATGCCACCACAGCAGAGACTGTCACTCTGCACAGCGACATCTCGGTTTCTCAAATTTTCTGAACATAGAAAACCACTAAAATAATTTAGAAACTAGATCCAAAATATTTTTTTTAACAGAATTTATAATGTACAAAAATGTTTTTTTCTTCTTAAAGTACATTTTCTTATAAAAGTTTGTAGTTATTTTATTATGATTCATTTATTTGTATATCAGTGCGATTGTATACCAGTGCAGCTACTGGGTCCAGAGTAAAGAAAAGAGGCTTTTTCATATATAAAGTATAACTGCTGGTCTTTGGGAAAAAACATAGAAACCCATAAATCTAGGAGGCACGCTATGGGGTTGTATTTTTTGTTACACAAATTATAATAAATGTGAAAACCAGTGAGGAAATAAACTGCAACCAGGTAATTTCACTATCCTTGATGCCTGGTAAGGCTTCAGACAGAATCAATGAAAATTCATTGAATAAGCAGTTGCTAAAGAAATCAAAATACATTAGAAATCGTACAAAAAAAGAAACAGATGAAAAAAAGTCATTTTGTCTCTTGCAGGGGTGTTTTTTGGAAGGACAGGAAGCCAGGCCTGAAGAGCAGCATGAGGACATGGCCAGAGGCATCTTTGGTTCGGTCGAACATACAAAAGGTAATATGAGCTTAAGCATTCCACAATGCAATGCTGAGAGTAAACCCTAACCCTGGTATAGAACCAAATGACTTTCTGTCTTTAACATTATCCTAGTTGTGTCAGTATGAGAAATGGAACTAAATGACATTGTCTTTAACATTATCCCAGTTGTGTCAGTATGAACAATGATCTCTCGTCCATGGGCAGAGGTGTGTTGCAAATGAGCAAAGTCAGAATCACATCACATTTGACTGAAATTAACTGGTATTCATGAACCTTGACTCGAGGTAAAAAGGACAAGGTTCAGTCATTTCCATGTGAAACATATACTTCAGAGGCGGCTGGTGGGAGGAGCTATAGGAGGACGGGCTCATTGTCAAACGTGGTTTCTATATGTTTGATAGCATCACTTATTCCATTCCAGCCATTGCAATGAGCCCATCTTCCAATAGCTCCTCCCACCAGGCTCCTCTGATATACTTACTGTATGAAGTGCGATTCATTAATGGCAACGAATAGTCTCAGTCAAACGTCATACAATAACTATGTGAGCATCCTCATGACGTCAGCAATCACTCATCTGGCTTTCACTAAACCTGCCAACTAAATCCACCCTCCTGTCCAGCCAAGTCGTAACCTGGTCTTTAGCTTAAAGAAACCACTGTTAGAGGCTTACTGTACATGCATGACAATATTCAAGAAGGCTAAAACGCTAGACTTCCTTTGAGGCAGTTTGTAAGAGCCAGAGTTGAGCGTTCAGTCAGATAACCTTTCCTTTAAGCAGTTAATTAACCCCATGGATGAGTAAAGGATACAGGACAGCTGTAAAAACTATATTTAAACACAGAGGTAAAACATTAAGTGTTGTTGGAACATCCAGTCGTGGGCTGGGCAGAGAAAGGGCCTACGATGGAGTGGCTGGAGAGCGTAGGGGTGACAGCCCTATTCACTCCAACTCTTTACTGTCCCAGCGCAGGAGAGAACGTTCCCTTCTGATGCCACCATCTACTGAACGACAGATTTCACCTTTAACCCCCAGGCCATGAGGCATGGAGTTGGGGGTAGAGAAGGGAGGAGGGGGGTTAGTTGGGACTTCTTGTCCTTTCAAACCTGCAGGGTGTTGACTTACACTGGTAGGAAAAAAACACCTGTTGAACAGATCTGCATATATCAAGGATAAGTCGGATATGATCGATGAGTCCGCATGACCAGTCACGAAAACCCGCGACCGCCCCAACATGAGGTCCAATAGCACCATTTTATTTATTTGTCTCTTTTTTTATGAGTTATACGAGTCTCTAAACCGTAGATCAAGCATGTCATGGATTAAACCATACTACATGTTTTATACACATACACACAGGCAACAGAATGGATTGCATTTGTGTATACATATATCGGCAAGTATGTAAAAGACAGTGGTGGACTTGGTCTTGCAGCATGTCCAGAAAAATTGTCAGGTTGTGCTGTATTTAATGGACCAGAAAATGGGTACCTGACTGTTCAGCAGCAAGGATAGCTTTTCCTGCAGTCCTCTGAAAACTGTTATTGTGACAACCTACTAGGCCAAAACATCTCTTTAAGTAGGCCTACTTTATCCTGTCAATATTACTGAGCAGCATGGTCTGAGGCATCAGTTCCCTGACCCCAAGAGGATATGATGGAAATGCCATCCAATCTCTGAGCAGGGAACCACAGTGAACAGGAGAGATTAGCCTATTTTCACATTATCATCTGAACCACTTCTACACTAGGCTATATTAATGAAGTAGCCTGTCTGACCATAACAAAGTTTCCCATCTGCCTCCCACTACGATAATGTGTCTATCTGAGGGTGAATCAGGTTCACCTTCACTGCCCTGTAGGTTGAGGTCAGGGTTAGACAACAGTACAGTACGGGACAGAGGAACACTCAGGGCACCATTTTACCGGTCCACATTTATTTAATCATTCATTAAGGCAACACAACTGAAATCTGGGTCATTCTGGGTTACTGTGGATGGAGTGCCAAAAGCCCTTAACATTTTGCATATAAAAATTAAATAAATGATTATCCCTACTATCAGTTGGTAAAGGCTGTTCCGAAAAGAAGTATTTTTTTACAAGCACCTCTCAAAACTGTCAGTCACCTCACAAAACTAAAATCAAATGCTGATGATCAAATCCTGTACACTACACAGAGGTCACGAGATAATCCTCAACTACACTTGTTAAAACACACCAACTACTGGGCGTGGATGTGACTGACAATAAGGTATACTTGAAGAGGAAATGGCATCACTGCTCCTTTAAAAGCCCTGGCTCTTTATGTAAGGATTGATTGAATGCAGCTTGATCACCCTTTACCAATTCCCTCTACATCTGTTCCAACCAACTCACCAGTCTGCCAAAACCTGCTGCAAACCAGCTGACAAGACAGACCAACAACCTCTGCATGGTTTCTAGTGGCACAGAGATGGGGAGTAACTGGTCCTGAAAACAGCAAGCCCCTCAACGAACAGCAGCATGTCATGAAGAAGAAATAATGGAGGGGTGATTTGAACAACTCAACCGACGATGATCAGTGCCAGAGGTTTAACGTTAGCTAGATACTAACTCCAGTAGCCTCCACAGCAGCTCCTAACATTTGACAAGAGCACATGAAAGTGCACAACTATGGCAACTGTCAGTCATCAAGAATGTAACGCCACATGTGGATGTAAACATTGACTACATCAAGCAAAATTAAGTGTCATTGTGGCCACGAGCTTCAGTTAAAATGGTATCGAACTAGTTGAGGTGAGGAGGCCAGAAACAGGACAAAAGAGTTCAAACCCTGATGCTAACCCATGTTCACAGAGTAACTAGAGAAAGGACAGATCATGTCTCACAGGCCCAGATTCCTAACCAGGACCAAGCACAGAGCACAATCTGAGGGGAAACCCAACTTTTGTGACCAAAGCCACCAGAATAAAGTTGACTCGTAGAGGAAGTAAACACAGAGAGGTTACATATTAGAGCGGAGAAAAGCAAACAGCTCAAGCCAACCACTATTACAAAGCATGCATTAAAAATAGAATATGGCTTTTAGTTTTAGCATGTCCCTGTCACTAGACTCAAGTCTCATTCATTGGTTTTTCCTCAAACCAACAGGCATGGAATAACAGGATGAAGGTATTTTTCACAGAGGGCAATGACTTGGATCATTATCTATCTGCACTCTATAGTCAACTCTCCAACCCAACCAAGTTAAAACTTGAGAAATGTATGGAGGAAGCCATTTTAGCTTCAAATTAGGTTATCTGTTCTTTGTCTCTGTGAATCAGGCGAGGAATTAATGTGATCTACAGGGGGAAGAGAGGGAGAAAATAACTGAGATGGAGCCGAACAAATTCAATTAAAGTTTAGAAGTGTTCATCAAAAACACCATGACCACTCGGGTGAAAATAACCGGCTCTGTCAAGCATCATGGGAAATATTTTGGCATGATCCTATTCCTAATTTAATCTAGCGGTTTCAATCTCCTGTCAGATGTGCACTTAACAACAAACTTCTAACCACACACAGAAAAGCAAACACGTTTGTGGGGTAACGCAATAAAGACCAGCTAATATTGGTCACGTGGCATCACAACCCTACAATGTAAAATATTGGGTATACAAGTCCCAACACCTACTCAATTACATCACTACAACAGTTTACAAAGACCAAACCAACCTTAACATTCAATACTTTGAGAGGAATCGCAAAATTGAGGAAAAGATGCAACCTTCCAGATCTGCTGATGGCTTGCTACATGATACACATAATGTCAATCTGGCTACTAAGAAAGGATTAAACAGAAAAACAGAAACACATTTTCCTAATAGAAGGGAACACTGTAGAAAAGCCTACACAAAATATGAGCATATACCATTATGCAAGACTAGTCCACCATATATGACTTGCATCCATCCACAGAATCAAAAACCTGATTAGGATTGTTTGAAAAGAATAAAGGTTTAAGAAAATCTAGTATTTGTTTACTTGTCAAAAATATGAAGGAAAGGGGTTATAGATATCGATATATATGCTGCAAAAACTAAATCAATAGGAGGATAAAAAGGAAAATAGTTTAGTTTTTCTCTCGTCATTATCAATTTATGCTTATTTTGCCACCCGTTGCCACGTCAACGTCTGGGAGAGCGTCAGCATGGCAACGGAAACTATCATCATAAAATGGTACAGTAGTAGAGATAGCTAGACCAGGAGGGGGCGGGCTCTCCTGGGAAAAGGTCCGCAGAGAGGTTCAGTGATTGGTCATGCGGCACGCTGTCAGGAATAATGGTTGTATGGGGGTAGAGGGTGCCCGGTGCCATTCTGGTAGTGATGGTGCTGGCGGTGGGCGATGTACTCCGCATAGCTCATCGTCATCTTCTCGCTACGGTACCTGAGCAGGAGGAGAGGGAAGTTAGAGAAGGCACAGTTACCCCAACTTAACTGGCAGCGGCACTACAATCTTTACATCCTAATGCTGCTATGGATCTAGCAGTACTCTGTCACTGATCTCCCTGGTGGTACTGTGGCAAACAGGACCATGGTGGGCTTTGGGAGGGTCACCTACAGTAATTATGCGCCAGTGCCATTTTCCCAGCAGTGAGCAACACTTACACTTTCAAAATCTACACTTAAGGCAAAACCAAGGCCAGCAGTGGAAGTCAGACAGCATCCGGTGTGAAAGCAGCCTCTCTTACCTGGTCAACTTAATGGTCTTCCTGAAGTCATTTGTGATGGGAGCTTTGTAGCCTCCCTTTCGTAGTAAGGAATCTATGGTCTGAATGTGGTCCCATCCTGCACAGAGAAGGTTATATCTTCTTGAACATCCCCCTTTATATCCCCTTGAATACCACTTCTCTCTACAACAAAGACCTTCAGTCATTCAGAGATCATACAAAGGTGATGGGACACACGATTCCACTTACCTTGCTCTTTTGCGACCTCTGGTAGGTAGGTGGCGGTGCGCTTTGATCCTTTTTCATTGAAAAACTCTATCCTAATGCCATGAACACCCACCTACATGTCAGAGAGAGGGAAGAGAGAGAGGGAAGAAGAGACATCCCTTTAATGACAGTACCAACAGAGAGAAATATCTATACGAACTACACGTCTTCGGCCACACTGTCCAACCTACTAGAATGCCTTCATAGGTCTTGCTGCACTAAGCCTAACATACTGGGTTCTATTTTGTGAAAGGGGGAATGAGAGGCTGAGAGGGAAATGGAGGTTTAGAGTGAGGGAGGGATGGCCACAGTAATAGGAGAGTGACTGGATGGAGGAGACAGGATCTGTCCCTGTAAACCAGCACACTTGAGCAGGGCCACGATCCAGTCAAGGTAGCTCAGAGGATTGTTCCCATTATAATCCAAACCGGCAGGTGATCACCCACCCACGTCACGGCCCTTGTCCCACCCACTCCCTGTAGTGTAGCCCCTCTGGGTCAACAAGGTAACTGCTTATGTCCTCACCACAAAGACATATTGCCTGTGTGTGTGAATGTTGATTGTCTGCCATCCTTGCTGTGTGAATATCCAGGCTGCAATGAGGCCCATTTCATTCAGGACATGAAGGTGCCACTGCAGCAGAGCCCTTTCCCTATTCAATTCTGATCTCTACTTCACACAGGAGATTGTCTCTTACAGTGTGCTCTGTGTGGAGAGTGTACTGCTCTCTGGGGCACAGTCAATCTAAGCTACTGGATTCACATATGTGAAGGCCATTTCATTTCAATAAAAATTCTATGACTGAAGAGTATTGCATAAGATGAATTAATAGCTACCTGTCTTGTTTCAGTCTCTTACCTCCCAGTCAAGGTAATCACCGACGTCCTCGAAGTTGGTGAGCAGAGACACTGAGCAGAAGAGGCGTGGCAGCTCGTCCCTCGTCATGGAGGGAAAACGGCTGTCTTTAAGGGCACTGTGGAGACAAAGCACAGGGGACGTTTAAGGCGAAAATAAGCATCATTACTTTAAATCGGTTCCAACTGGAAGACCTACAGATTATCAAGGACAATGTCTACCCAAAGTTATATTTTCATTTAATCTCACACTGAGCTGAGGGCATTATGGTTAGAATGAAAAAGACAAAATCTCTTTGGTAAGAGAACAAGTAAAGGAAACCCTGCAAGCATATTCTTTATCCTTTCAGAAGAGATTTAGATGGCATTAGCCATTAAATGACATCTTCTATGCTTCAAATAAAATAAAATGTATGTTTATTGGTCGTAGATGCAGCAAAACGCTTGTGTTTCTAGCGCCAACAGTACAGTAATAATACCTAGCAATACAAAACACTATGCACATAATCCAAAAAGTAAAAATAAATATCAGAACGAGCAATGTCAGAATCCGGAACATATTTAAGCAATAAGGCCAGAGGGGGTGTGGTATATGGCCAATATACCACGGCTAAGGGCTTTCCTTAGGCTCGACCCAAACCATGAAAAACAGCCCCAGAACATTATTCCTCCTCCACAAAACTTTACAGTTGGCACTATGCATTCCGGCAGGTAGCGTTCTCCTGGCATCCGCCAAACCCAGATTCATCCATCAGACTGCCAGATGGTGAATTCATCACTCCAGAGAACGTGTTTCCACTGCTCCAGAGTCCAATGGCGGCGAGCTTCACACCACTCCAGCAGACGCTTGGCATTGCGCATGGTGATCTTAGGCTTGTGTGCAGCTGCTCTGCCATGGAAACCCATTTCATGAAGCTCCCGACGAACAGTTCTTGTGCGGACATTGCTTCCAGAGGCAGTTTGGAACTCGGTAGTGAATGTTGCAACCGAGGACTGACGATTTTTACGCGCTACGTGCTTCAGCACTCAGCGGTCACGTTCTGTCAGCTTGTGTGGCCTACCACTTTGCTGCTGAGCCGTTGTTCCACTTCACAATGACAGCACCTACAGCTGACCGGGGCAGCTGTAACAGGGCAGAAATGTGACTAATTGACTTGTTGGAAAGGTGGTATCCTACGACGGTGCCACGTTGAAAGTCACTGAGCTCTTCAGTAAGGCCATTCTATTGCCAATGTTTGTCTATGGAGATTCCATCGCTGTGTGCTAGATTTTATACATCCATCAGCAACAGGGGTGGCTGAAACAGCCCGAATCTACTAAATTGAAGGGGTGTCCACATACTTTTGTATATATAGTGTATATCTATATCGATCTATCTATATATATACACACATACACACACTGAGCGTACAAAACATTAAGAACACTTTCCTAATATTGAGTTGCGCACCTCCCCTCTGATAACCGGAGAGGACCTGACAAGACAGCAGAAGCAGCACTCTTACTGGCCGGGGACTTGAACGCAGGGAAATTGAAATCAGCTTTCCCTAATGTCTACCAGCATGTCACATGTGCAACTAGAGGGAGAAAAAAAACTCTAGATCATCTTTACTCGTACACAGCTCACCCTCCATTTAGCAAATCTGACCATAACTCTATCCTCCTGATTCCTGCTTACATGTAAAAACGAAAAAAAGGAAGTACCAGTGACGTGCTCAATACGGCAGTGGTCCGATGAAGCGGATGCTAAGCTACAGGACTGTTTTGCTAGCACAGACTGGAATATGTTCCGGGATTCATCCGATGTCATTGAGGAGTTTACCACATCAGTCACCGGCTTCATTAATAAGTGCATCGACAACATCCTCCCCACAGTGACCGTACGTACATAGCCCAACCAGAAGCCATGGATTACAGGAAACATCCGCTCTGAGCTAAAGGCTAGAGCTGCCGCTTTCAAGGAGTGGGAAACTAATCTGGACGCTTATAAGAAATCCCGCTATGCCCTCTGACGAACCATCAAACAGGAAAAGCATCAATACAGGACTAAGATCGAATCCTACTACACTGACTGACTCTCGTCGGATGTGGCAGGGCTTGCAAACTATCACAGATTACAAAGGGAAACCCAGCCGTGAGCTGCCCAGTGACGCAAGCCTACCACACAAGCTAAATGACTTCTATACTAGCTTCGAGGCAAGCAACACTGAACCATGCATGAGAGCACCAGCTGTTCCGGATGACCGTGTGATCCCGCTCTCCGTAGCTGATGTGAGTAAGACCATTAAACAGGTTAACATTCACAAGGCTGCAGGGTCAGATGGATTACCAGGACACGTATTCAGAGCATGCGCCAACCAGCTGGCAAGTGTCTTTACTGACATTTCATCCTCTCCCTGACCCAGTCTGTAATACCTACATGTTTCAAGGAGACCACCATAGTCCCTGTGCCCAAGGACGCCAAGGTAAACTTCCTAAATGACTACCGCCCCGTAGCACTCACATCTGTAGCCATGAAAGGCTGGTCATGGGTCACAACACCATCATCCCAGAAACTCTGGACCCACTCCAATTTGCATACCGCCCCAACAGATCCACAGATGACGCAATCTCTATTGCACTCCACACTGCCCTTTCCCACCTGGACAAAAGGAAACACCTACGTGAGAATGCTGTTCACTGACTACAGCTCAGGGTTCAACATCACAGCACCCTCCAAGCGCATCACTAAACTAAGGACCCTGGGACTGAACACCTCCCTCCGCAACTGGATCCTGGACTTCCTGGCGGGACGCCCCCAGGTGGTGGGGGTAGGCAACAACACATCCGCCACGCTGACCCTCAACACGAGGGCACCTCAGGGGTGTGTGCTTAGTCCCCTCCTGTACACCCTGTTCACCCATGACTGAGTGGCCATGCACGACTCCAACACCATCATTAAGTTGGCCGACGACACAACGGTTGTAGGCCTGATCAACGACGATGATAACACAGCCTATAGGGAGGAGGTCAGAGACCTGGCAGTGTGGTGCCAGGACAACGACCTCTTCCACAATGTGAGCAAGACAAAGGAGCTGATCGTGGACTACGGGAAAAGGAGGGCAGAGCGTGCCCCCATCCACATCGACGGGGCTGTAGTGGAGCAGGTTGAGAGCTTCATGTTCCTTGGTGTCCACATCACTAAGGACCTATCATGGTCCAAACACACCAAGACAGTCGCGAAGAGGGCACGACAACGCCTATGCCCCATCACGAGGCTGAAAAGATTTGGCATGGGACCTCAGATCCTCAAAAAATTCTACAGCTGCACCATCGGGAGCATACTGACTGGTTGCATCACTGCTTGCTATGGCAACTGCTCAGCATACAGAGGGTCGTGCGTACGGCCCAGTACATCACAGGGGCCGAGCTTCCTGCCATCCAAGAACTCTATGCCAGGTGGTGTCAGAGGAAGGCCCTACATTTTTTCCAAATAAACATAAAATCCAAATAAAAATAAACATGAAATAAACATGAAATTGTCAAAGACTCCAGCCACCCAAGTCATCAACAGTTCTCTCTGCTACAAGTGGCACCCGAGGGCTTCTACCCCCAAGCCATAAGACTGCTGAACAGTTAATGAAACGCTACCCTGACTATTTGCATTGACCCCCTTATTTTACTCTTATTTTTTGCACCGACTCTCTTGCACAGGCTCGATGTACACTAACTGGACTCTAACCACACACACACACATACTACACTGACACTCCAACACACATGCACACTTACATTCCTTCACACACACTGCTGCTACAGTGCCTTGCAAAAGTATTCATCCCCCTTTGCGTTTTCCCTATTTTGTTGCATTACAACCTGTCATTTAAATAGATTATTTAGATTTCATGTAATGGACATACACAAAATAGTGAAGTGAAATGGAAAAAATAACTTGTTCCAAAAAATTCATCCCCTTTGGCGTTTTTTCTATTTTGTTGCATTACAACCTGTAATTTAAATGGATTTTTATTTGGATTTCATGTAATGGACATACACAAAATAGTCCAAATTGGTGAAGTGAAATTAAAAAAAGAACTTGTTCCTAAAAATTCTAGAAAATAAATAACGGAAAAGTGGTGCGTGCATATGTATTCACCCCCTTTGCTATAAAGCCCCTAAATAAAATCTGGTGCAACCAATTACCTTCAGAAGTCACACAATTAGTTAAATAAGTCCACCTGTGTGAAATCTAAGTGTCACATCATCTGATCTCAGTATATATACACCTTTTCTGAAAGGCCCCAGAGTCTGCAACACCACTAAGCAAGGGGCACCACCAAGCAAGCGGCACCATGAAGACCAAGGAGCTCTCCAAACAGGTCAGGGACAAAGTTGTGGAGAAGTACAGATCAGGGTTGGGTTATAAAAAAATATCAGAAACATTGAACATCCCACGGAGCACCATTAAATCCATTATTAAGAAAATGGAAAGAATATGGCACCACAACAAACCTGCCAAGAGAGGGCCGCCCACCAAAACTCATGGACCAGGCAAGGAGGGCATTAATCCGAGGCACAACAAAGAAACCAAAGATAACCCTGAAGGAGTTGCAAAGCTCCACAGCCGAGATTGGAGTATCTGTCCATAGGACCACTTTAAGCCGTACACTCCACAGAGCTGGGCTTTACGGAATAGTGGCCAGAAAAAAGCCATTGCTTAAAGACAAAAATAAGCTAACATAACGTTTGGTGTTCGCCAAAAGCCATGTGGGAGACTCCCCAAACATATTGAAGAAGGTACTCTGGTCAGATGAAACTAAAATTGAGCTTTTTGGCCATCAAAAAGCAAATCATGGTGGTGGCAGCATCATGCTGTGAGGATGTTTTTCACCGGCAGGGACTGGGAAACTGGTCAAAATTGAAGGAATGATGGATGGCGCTAAATACAGGGACATTCTTGAGGGAAACCTGTTAGTCTTCCAGAGATTTGAGACTGGGACGGAGGTTCACCTTCCAGCAGGACAATGATCCTAAGCATACTGCTAAAGCAACACTCGAGTGGTTTAAGGGAAAACATTTAAATGTATTGGAAGGGCCTAGTCAAAGCCCAGACCTCAATCCAATTGAGAATCTGTGGTATGATTTAAAGATTGCTGTTCACCAGCGGAACCCATCCAACTTGAAGGAGCTGGAGCAGTTTTGCCTTGAAGAATGGGCAAAAATCCCCGTGGCTAGATGTGCCAAGCTTATAGAGACATACCCCAAGAGACTTGCATCTGTAATTGCTGCAAAAGGTGGCAATTCAAGTTTTCAGTTTGTCTTATTTCCTGTTTGTTTCACAAAATGATTTATTTTGTGTCAGGCACCTCCAAACAACAGCCATGGCTGGATAAATTATTCTAATGCCCGTGTTGCATCCATTCTCTGCAGCTCCCTGGGAGAGAGGGGAATTCGACATGCTACTGGTAGCAGAGCAGCAGATTAAACATTGATTAGATGGGCAGGGTTGGCAAATCTTCCTCAGACAGTAGACTCAATATGGATGCACACACAAACATTGCCCACATACATCTGGCAATACAGGGGAGTAGTGAGGCTTACCCTCAGTCTCAGATGAGTCATTATACAAATAAGCCTGTATTTTTACTGAGCTGACACTTTTATCAAAATAGGCCTGGTTGCATTAATACTGTATTTTACACATGTTCACATTTATATGCTACATTTAGGCCTTATAGCTGAATACAAACAAGACTGCAACCACTAAGTAGATGTGTCCACATTCCTTTGCTGGTGGCCTTGAGTGCAGTCATCACCAGTTCTAGCAGAGAGAGAGGAGTACAACAGGAACGTGACAAGTCTGCCTGGCTGGTAGTTTCAGAGCAAGAGGGCCGTCTACTAAAACAAACCGATGATCTCAACCTCTACAAAATGGCTGTTCTGGACAGCATGCATACCACATTACAGAGACACAACATGCTTTGTTAGATCCTCTGACAGTATCCTGGAGGAGCAGGATACTTAGCTGTTTGTTCTCTACAGACCAACGCTGCTGATGTAGGCTTATCCATAGAACACAGTATAATAACCAGATGGATGCAAAACAGTGATCCGATTGTCATCTATCATCTGAAGTTAAAAATATATTTAATACAGGGTCTACAATGAAGGGAAACAATGGTCCCAAAGATAAATGATGGAAGTCACGAGAGAATTGATGAGCCTGACCTCCAAAACATTGTCAGTTACTTCATAGTATATATAAAACAGGACAACGAACACACACTAATATATGACATTCCTACGGTGCATGACAGATCATTGGGCGGGTGTAGCTTTGCAGCAAGGCTGAAAGGCCCTTTTGACACTAGTGCAGATCACATGAGTAACACATGCAGACAAACAGACTGACACAGACAAACATTCAAACCGGTTTTGCCCAGCCACTGTAAAGTGAACGCATTCTTTAATGAATCGTCTCATCCCCCGCCACACATGTATAAACACACAGAAAAACAACACACTGCTCAACTGGATCCTCTCTCCCCCACTGTGGGCCACAGAGGCTATTAGGTTGGTTTAAGCTCACTAAGTCCAGTCTCAATCACACCCTAAGAAAGATGTCTAAGAAATAATGACTAAAACTATTACTAAAATGTAATACACATCTGCCTATACTTTGCATAAAATAAGATACTGCCTTACTTCCTTTTACTGTTGCTTTTACAACGATAAAGTTTGATCCTAAAGAAAAACGCATGTCAAAAATTTTATAAATTGATTTGCATTTTAATGAGGGAAATAAGTATTTGACCCCTCTGCAAAACATGACTTAGTACTTGGTGGCAAAACCCTTGTTGGCAATCACAGAGGTCAGACATTTCTTGTAGTTGGCCACCAGGTTTGCACACATCTCAGGAGGGGTCAAGTCAATACTTTGTAGAGCCACCTTTTGCAGCAATTACAGCTGCATGTCTCATGGGGTATGTCTCTATAAGCTTGGCACATCTTGCCACTGGGATTTTTGCCCATTCTTCAAGGCAAAACTGCTCCAGCTCCTTCAAGTTGGATGGGTTCCGCTGGTGTACAGCAATCTTTAAGTCATACCACAGATTCTCAATTGGATTGAGGTCTGTGCTTTGACTAGGCCATTCCAAGACATTTAAATGTTTCCCCTTAAACCACTCAAGTGTTGCTTTAGCAGTAGGCTTAGGATCATTGTCTGCTGGAAGGTGAACCTCCGTCCCAGTCTCAAATCTCTGGAAGACTGAAACAGGTTTCCCTCAAGAATTTCTCTGTATTTAGCGCCATCCATCATTCCTTCAATTCTGACCAGTTTCCCAGTCCCTGCCGATGAAAAACATCGCCACAGTATGATGCTGCCACCACCATGCTTCACTGTGGGGATGGTGTTCTCGGGGTGATGAGGTGTTGGGTTTGCACCAGACATAGCGTTCTCCTTGATGGCCAAAAAGCTCAATTTTTGTCTCATTTGACCAGAGTACCTTCTTCCATATGTTTGGGGAGTCTCCCACATGCCTTTTGGCGAACACCAAACATGTTTGCTTATTTTTTTCTTTAAGCAATGGCTTTTTTCTGACCACTCTTCCATAAAGCCCAGCTCTGTGGAGTGTACGGCTTAAAGTGGTCCTATGGTCAGATACTCCAATCTCCGCTGTGGAGCTTTGCAGCTCCTTCAGGGTCATCTTTGGTCTCTTTGTTGCCTCTCTGATTAATGCCCTCCTTGCCTGGTCCATGAGTTTTGGTGGGCGGCCCTCTCTTGCCAGGTTTGTTGTGGTGCCATATTCTTTCCATTTTCTTAATAATGGATTTAAATGGTGCTCCTTGGGATGTTCAAAGTTTTAAATATTTTTTTATAACCCAACCCTGATCTGTACTTCTCCACAACTTTGTCCCTGACCTGTTTGGAGAGCTCTTTGGTCTTCATGGTGCCGCTTGCTTGGTGGTGCCCCTTGCTTAGTGGTGTTGCAGACTCTGGGGCCTTTCAGAAAAGGTGTATATATACACTGAGATCATGTGACAGATCATGTGACACTTAAATAAAGTCCAGCTGTGTGCAATCTAACTAATTATGTGACTTCTGAAGGTAATTGGTTGCACCCGATCTTATTTAGGGGCTTCATAGCAAAGGGGGTGAATACATATGCACGCACCACTTTTCCGTTATTTATTTTCTAGAATTTTTAGGAACAAGTTCTTTTTTTAATTTCACTTCACCAATTTGGACTATTTTGTGTATGTCCATTACATGAAATCCAAATAAAAATCCATTTAAATTACAGGTTGTAATGCAACAAAATAGAAAAAACACCAAAGGGGATGAATACTTTTGCAAGGCACTGTATATGTACATAATTACCTCGTACCCCTGCACATCGACTCAGTACTGGTACCCCGTGTATATAGCCAAGTTATCGTATCCTTCTGTTATTTTTATATTACACTATTTTTTCCCCTCTGCATTGTTGGGAAGGGCCTGTAAGTAAGCATTTCACTGATAGTCTACACCTTTAGTTTATGAAGCATGTGACAAATCAAATTTGATTTAATTTGAAAGTAAAATTGTCCAAGATGAATCAGCTAGCTAGCTTGCTAAACACTGCTGACAATTCTATTTGGGCTAGCTAGCTAAATTATACAGTCAACATTTTGTCTATATTGATCCTGTTACAATAACCAAACAGGATAAACTAATAATCTGCAAAACCATGTGTGAGTTGCTTTGTGTATCAGCAGATTTCCTTGAGATAATCTCACTGCAGCACTGCGTCCATGTTGTTTGATATAGGCGTTTTCAAATAACTTTAAGTCAAGGTGAGCTCCCCGCCCACACAGCCTATTAGCTCAGTCTGTCTTTTCAGACTTCCTGGTAGTTTGAAATGAGAGAATAAGTACTTTTTCTCCAATTTTGAGCATTTTAAATCAGAAAAATTGTATGGGTGATGTTTTAGTCACTCAAAAGGCTATTTTACATGTGAATAAGAATGACTGTTGGGGACCTTTAAACAGGCAAAGGTGCATCTGAACTGGCCATGACAGTGTAAATTAGTTCCATACATTTCTGAGAGCCAGGCAGAGCACTGAGTAGCCTCTCTCAGGGAGGTAAAACCTTATTGGAGGTCCCTGGGGCCGTTCCTCCGCTGGATGTACATGCGTTGCATGATTTATTCAGCACCGAATGTCCTTTGACGTACACAGAACTGAAAACACACACAAGCTCCAAGCTCCTTGTTATATTTTTGTACATGGTAAGAGGGGGAGAGGTGTTCTGTAGAATTGCTGAGGTATAGCCTAAATTCCCTAAACATTAACTGGATAATTATAGGACATGGCTTACTTTGTGCAATAACTGCTTCCAGCCATCTGTATTATAATCATTCTTTCCCTCAGCCATGAACATTCTGCTCTCTGAAACATGATCATTTATTTAAAACATTGTTTTTAAAAGGTCTCATCAGCAGAGGTGAGCCACAATTGTTTGTAGGGAGGATTGAACAGGCACAGTCAGAAACTAACTGTATTTGACACAAGAACATCTTCCTAAGCATGCATTCTGTTCTGCCTGGTGAGATTGTGGCATTAGGATATCTACAAATTGGAAAAATGAGAACCAGGGAGATTGGAATGCAGTGGGAGGAAAAAGTATCTGAAAACAAAAAACAACCATGGGTTAGTTAGCAGGAGCCCTGAGACAGAAACTAAAGCCGCCCTGTCTGTTTGGCTCAGCAAAATACATGATCAGACACAGCTTTTTGTTTCAGACAAACAAGCTAGAAAATCTTAGCATATTGACTTTTGTATGTAAGACATGAAGGATGATCCTTTTTATCAAAGAAGCCAGTAATATTGATAACATTACTGTTAGAGTTGAATACCAAAAGGCCCCCTTTTTCCCCCAGAAGAACCCCAGGCCTCACTAATGACGTTAGTGCTCACAGAGGCATTCATGCTGAGTGAAGAAAACCGTCAGCTTTACTGGCATCCTCATCTGGACGCTTCGCCCTGTTTTTTGGTTCCCCCTCACAACACACTGTTCTCCCCTTCGAAAAATGAATGAACCGGGAGGTCTGAAATTTGTGGTACTTAGGTACAGTTCAGTCCACAGAAGAAACTTCAAAAAGCATTATCCTCTAACCTTGACTGTACCTACGGTGAACTTAAAAACAAAAGCTAGGGGAAACACTTTGCTTGAGGCTCTTAAAAAATATGCATGTCAACTAAAAAAAAAACATTTTTTGCTGAAATGTTATTGTAAGGGCTCCTATGTTATCAGATCAAATAAATTAATTGATTTAGTCGAGTCCAACTTGACATTTGCGGTGACAGCAGAAAGCTTGATCTCTCTGTTGCAGTGCATCACCTCCTCTATAGTGTGTAATCATCCTAGCAACAGCGCTGGCCAATAGGAGGCTGGCAGGAGTCTTAACTTGTAGCCAATAGGAGCCCAGTTCCAGATGTCAGTGTGTGCCTGTGAGTGAGTGTGTATGTAACTGTATGTGTGTGAGAAAGCGATAGAGAGCTACAGCTCAGCCTTACAGCCCCTGCCCATTCAAATACAGTTATTTTTTCCTGTCCAGCTGGTATGCAGTTTGTCCCCGATGAATGAGCCCTTTCCTTACATAATCCAACAAAGCATAATTGTTGCTTTGGTGGTGGTGGTGGTGGTGGGGGGGGGGGGGTCTCTTTCAGTGACTGAATAAGAACAGAAACAAAAGATAAATCCACTTCACACCCGGACAACTCAAAACAAAATCTGCCATTATTTTTTACTTCAACACCACAAAAGGGAAATGTTGGGTGATTTTTTTTATCCCAAAGGATGTGTCATCATCCCCCATTCCCTCCCCCTCTTTTGTTGTTCATGCCTATGAGTGTGACAGTCAGCCAGTCCCTCCGGAGATATCCCAGCAGACGACAGGGAGATAACACAGACACGGTGTGTCTGCTAGCGCCTACACTCGTCTCCCCCGTCACTGCTCACCACCCTCCGCCTCATAGCGCTTGACGGGTCTGAACCAGCTGCACTACTTTTATCTTCCACCGAGGGATACTTTTGTTTAGAGAAAAAGCCTGACTGCAGTAGTTTAGCCTAAAGAAAGTGCAGTACATGCTTGGAACTCCGGACATGATGATCAAGTTAAGAGAGAGGCTTACCTGGTAAGGGTGTACTCCCTGAGTCCTGAGTGCAGGTTCATGGCAGAAAATGTACCTATACATCCCCTCAACCGCTTGTCTCTGCCTATTTTCCATGTGACAAACAGCGGGCTGAAAGAGAAAGAAGGGAAGACAATGGTCGGACCTTAGAGTTTAACACATTAAAACATAATGTAAAAACTAGGCCTACCCTCTATTGGGTATTTATTTCTGGGCCAAATAGAGTTTGAAGGTCCAGGACCCACTTAGGGTTGAGAAAATCAATTGAGGCAATATTTGCATTGATTTCTCACATTCCTAGTGATATTGGACACCAACAAAAGTACTTCTCACCTAACATTGCACTGACACATATTGATTGACAATGTGTAGCAAGTACTAAAAATAAGATGGCTACATGAGGTTTCTGTTATATACTGAACGAAAATATAAAACGCAACATGCAACAAATTCAAAGATTTTACTGAGTTACAGTTCATTTAAGGAAATCAGTCAATTGAAATAAATGCATTAGGCCCTAATCTATGGATTTCACATGACTGTTGGTCACAGATACAATATACATACATAAGTATGTGGACACCCCTTCAAATGAGTGGATTCAGCTATTTCTGCCACACCCGTTGCTGACAGGTGTATAAAATCGAGCACACAGCCATGCAATCTCCATAGAAATATAATTGGCAGTAGAATGGCCTTACTGAAGAGCTCAGTGACTTTCAACGTGGCACTGTCATAGGGGATGCCACCTTCCCAACAAGTCAGTTGGTAAAATGTCTGCCCTGCTAGAGCTGCCCCGGTCAACTGTAAGTGCTGTTATTGTGAAGTGGAAACATCTAGGAGCAACAACAGCTCAGCCACCAAGTGGTATGCCACACAAGCTCACAGAACGGGACCACTGAGTGCTGAAGCATGTAAAAATCATCTGTCCTCGGTTGCAACACTCCCTACCGAGTTCCAAACTGCATTTGAAAGCAACGTCAGCACAAGAACTGTTCGTCGGAAGCTTCATGAAATGGGTTTCTATGGCCGAGCAGCAGCACACAAGCCTAAGATCACCATGCGCAATACCAAGGATCGGCTGGAGTGGTGTAAAGCTCGCCGCCATTGGACTCTGGAGCAGTGGAAACGCGTTCTCTGAAGTGATGAATCACGCTTCACCATCTGGCAGTCTGACAGAAGAATCTGGGTTTGGCAGATGCCAGGAGAACGCTACCTGCCCCAATGCATAGTGCCAACTGTAAAGTTTGGTGGAGGAGGAATAATGGTCTGGGGCTGTTTTTCATGGTTCGGGCAAGGCCCCTTAGTTCAATTGAATTCTGTGCTTCTGACTTTGTGGCAACAGTTTGGAGAATGCCCTGTTTCAGCATGACAGCACAAAGCAAGGTCCATACAGAAATGGTTTGTTGAGATCGTTAAAGAAGAACTTGACTGGCCTGCATAGAGCCCTGACCTCAAACAACTTTGGGATTAATTGGAAAACCGACTGCGAGCCAGGCCTAATAGCCCAACATCAGTGCCCGTCCTCACTAATGCTCGTGGCTAAATGGAATCAAGTCCCCGTAGCAATGTTCCATCATCTAGTGGAAAGCCTTTCCAGAAGAGTGGAGGCTGTTATAGCAGCAAGGGGGGGGCAACTCCATATTAATGCCCATGATTTTGTTATGAGATGTTAGACGAGCAGGTGTCCACATACTTTCGGTCATGTAGTGTACCTTAAAAAAAAAAGTAGGGACGTGAATCAGAAAACCAGTCTGTATCTGGTGTGACCACCATTTGCCTCATGCAGCGCGACATCTCCTTCACATAGAGTTGATCAGGCTGTTGATTGTGGCCTGTGGAATGTTGTCCAACTCCTCTTTAATGGCTGTGCGAAGTTGCTGGATATTTATGGGAACTGGAACACACTGTTGTACACGTCGATCCAGAGCATCCAAAACATGCTCAATGGGTGACATGTCTGGTGAGTATGCAGGCCATGGAAGAACTGGGACATTTTCAGCTTCCAGGAATTGGGTACAGATCCTTGCGACATGGGGCTGTGCATTATCATGCTGAAACATGAGGTGATGGCGTCGGATGAATGGCACGACAATGGGCTTCAGGATCTCGTCATGGTATCTCTGTGCATTCAAATTGCAAATTGGGAGACAAAATCCATTTGAGAGAGACAGACAACCGATATACTACTTAGCCTTCTCTGTAAACTGACAAAAATAAAATTGCCTTGTTATGGTCAGTCTCTTGCCAACAAAAAAATGAAACATACATGTTTAACACACCGACACAAAATCCTTATATGCAGGGAATATTGCAGATTAGGGTGTACAACTAATCCACTAAAAGCCTGGCAGCAGCTCCACCTCTTTGCCCTAAAATCACTTAAGAGACCTTTTCTCAATAACCCCCAGGATTACTGTCGCTAGCTAAGTACATAAAAAAAAGATATTGCACAACACAAAAGGCTAATCCTAGGTTAATACACTTTGTTAGTACAGACATCACTAGACACAATCTGGGCAGATAAGGATGACGATGTAAGGGTTCCAGCCTCATTCATAGCTAAGCAGATGTCAATGCTCAGAGCTGAGTATAAATAGGCACTCCAGTCTACTGTATCAACTTAGAAGAAGAAGAAGAACTACAGCTGTTGAAGAGAGCAACTTGTAGAGGTAGATATAATATATTTCATGATGACCATCTCAAAAAGAGAGGGCCAGGAAAAGAAAATAGAACTATTCTTAATATCAATGCCTTTCTTGAGGTTCATGACTTCATGTACACTACATGACCAAAAGTATGTGGACACCTGCTTGTCAAACATCTAATTCCAAAATCATGGGCATTAATATGGAGTTGGTCCCCCCCCTGCTGCTATAACAGCCTCCACTCTTCTGGGAAGGATTTCCACTAGATGTTGGAACATTGCTGCGGGGACTTGCATTCATTCAGCCACAAGAGAATTAGTGAGGTCAGACACTGATGTTGGGCGATTAGGCCTGGCACGCAGTCAGCGTTCCAATTCATCCCAAAGGTGTTCGATGGGGTTGAGGTCAGGGCTCTGTGCATGCCAGCTTTACACCACTCCAGCCCACGCTTGGCATTGCGCATGGTGATCTTAGGCTTGTGTGCGGCTGTTCGGCCATAGAAACCCATTTCACGAAGCTCCCGACGAACAGTTCTTGGACAGATGGACAGATGATTTTTACGCGCTTCAGCCCTCGTCTGTCCCGTTCTGTGACCTTGTGTGGCCTACCACTTCGCGGATGAGCCGTTGTTGCTCCTAGACGTTTCCACTTCACAATGACAGCACTTACAGTTGACCGGGGCAGCTCTAGCAGGGCAGACATTTGACAAACTGACTTGTTGGAAAGGTGGCATCCTGTGACGGTGCCACGTTGAAAGTCACTGATCTCTTCACTAAGGCCATTCTACTGCCAATGTTTGTCTATGGAGATTGCATGGCTTTGTGATCGATTTTATACACCCGTCAGCAATGGGTGTGGCTGAAATAGCCAAATCCACAAATTTGACGGGGTGTCCACATACTTTTGTATATATTGTGTATATTTAAAAGCCAGGGCAATGCATGGGAGAGGGAGGAAATATGGTCTTGGGAGAAAATATGATACAGAGTGAGGAAGAAGGAGGTGGAAGAAAAAAAAAAATAAGTTGCTTGCTAATCAACATTTTTATCAGCAAGATCTGTTTAGAGAGAGGACTAGCTGTCGCCATTGGCGTCGGCTAATGGGGATCCGAATAAATAAAATCAAAGCTGAGGAGCAGCCAATCTACATTTAAATCCACTCCTCTCTGGACTGCACAGACAGCACTCGATAAGTGTCTGAAATTAACAGAACGGTGGACAACCACTTCAGTGACCTTCAGTCTGAAAGCAGACTGGAGATAGGTAGGAAAGAGAGTGAGAGATTGCACAAGAGAAAAATCTGTCTGGATGTGTGAGACGGATGCGTCGCAAACATGCTTGAGAGAGAGAGGGAATCGAAAGACAGATTGATGTCAGTCGATCCTAATAAGAAGTGATCTCTGGAGGGGCAGACAGACAACTCCATGCTTTAGCTCTGATGTAATGGGATGACTTCAGAGAGACAAGCTCCTCCAAACAGCCAGTCAGTCAGTCAGGCCAGCCTGCAGCTCCCTCCTTAAAATGAATCTCAATCTGGCTGAGGAACCTCTTGGCAAACAAGGTGAGCAGCAGCCTGAGAGAGGCCGTGGTGTGAGCCAAAGGGAAACAAGGGCAGCGGCAAGGACAGTCAACAAGAGCTGCAGTTGTTACCCCAATCACCACTGAGGGGTGAAAGACCACATTTATCAATAGTCTTCCACTGGTCTGACAAATGCGGGAGTTCCATTTCAAAACTGAAATTATTTTTTCAGTTAGAACATTTGTCTATCAGATAGTTTCCTGACAAGAATCCATGATGGGTCTCGTGAGTAAGCGGTCAGTTGTGCCTGCTAAGTAAACATTCTTCTATGGTGAGTGTTCTGGAGGGAGGGGCGACGGAGCACATTTTTGACATGCAGCCAGGGTTGATGGGTTCAGTGTGTTAAAAAAGCCAGACTCCTGCGAGTAAACATTGATTTCTCTTAATGAACTGCTGATGAATCAAATCACACCATGAGGTCTAAGCAAACGAGAATCTGTCTAAAACCCCCTGGTGGAGTCATGAAAATTATTTTAAAAAGGACAATAGGGCAGATATGAAAGGGAGACTGCGAAGCAGGCCTGTGTTTAATTGGCTAGAAACCAGAACAACGTCTTCACTGTTCAGGCAGGTATCAACAGCGCAGCATGATGGTCTTTGTGTCCACTGAAAATGTACATGTAATTGCTGTAATGTTATTCCCTGGGCACCTATAAGGTGCTCACTGCTCACTATACTATTCAGTCTCTTTTTCCACTCTCCCTTTTTTGGCAGATGTCCCACTCGGTTCAGCGTGCCAATTCTGAACAGTAATCCCAGCCTGCCGGCCACATACTAAAGGGATGTCCTATCGCATCACGTGCCATACTGTGACCTTGACGGTTCTACTCATCATCCATTCCACCCACAGCCAACACCGTCCTCACATACCATACCAGCACCAACCCCCACCGTTCTTTATGACCGAAGAGTGAAGAGCAGACATCCTCAATGGTTTCAATTCAATTACATGTGTAAAAAGGGTGATCCATCACTTCCCATTTGGTATTCATCAATTGCCAACTCGGGCACACAAACACATTGGGATGGAATCCAGTCGGAGAACCAACGTTCTGCACTGTAGAGGTCCGACCCTGAGGACACACCATGTCTCTGCAAAGCACATCAAACAAGTGCTTTTAAAATGCTTTGTCAAGCATATTTAACTGAGCCAAGTTAGTCACTCAGTCTTAATTTAAAGCAGAAAGTCAAACAAAGGGAAAGTCTTGACAGGTACACATTAGTTCAGATAAATCGTTTTTATGTCATCACGTCATGTTTTAAGAGTTGCTTCAAATCCTTTGCTCTGTACCAATCAGTCCATAAAAAGAAGGCCCATGCCATCCCAAACAGTAGAAAAAGCTGCAGGGGCGTTTTAATGCGCATTGCTACATCTGGAGCCCAGTTCACATAGCCACCTTCACACTGCAGACTGACTACTAATCAGTCCTGATGACGTCACTGCCCACCATAGTCACAATTGCACATTACACTACAATCCCCAGGCCCAGCTTTCACACTGTGTGAGGGGGGCGATTATTCAGGAGATTCAATATTGTTGTATTGGCTAAGTATCTACCAAGTTGAGAAAAGTTGTTGTAAGTCACATGCATGCAGGCACATATTACACTCCCTTGGCTGCTAATTTATGGGTCACAAGCAGAGCTGGTGTTGTGGGCAGGAGTGTGTGCAGAGATCAGATGGGGGATGGGAGGGACTGGTGTCATGTTCCTCACATCATCAGCTCCTCAAGCAGAAACAACCAGGTTGCGTGTGGCACTCAGTATCAACCTGGCAGGCCCAGTTTATCTACCACATTCTAGTAGTCTATAATACATCAAGCTGGAGGCTTGGTGTGCAGGGGTAAGTTTAAAGTTCATTTAAGCCCCGGCAGAGCAGCTTTATTATCCAACCATGGTTATGGGCCGTGCACAGCAACAACCCACCTCCTCCAGGAGCTGATCCAGCCCACCTGATCAGGTAAATCCTCCTGGTGGTAAACACACTACTAGCATCTCCGTTTTGGACTTACAGGCTAACGCAAGTGGGGGTAGATTTGGAGAGGACCTGGGTGCAGTCTCAACACAGGGAAAGCCCTTGCCATTCAATACTAACATTAGCATAATAGAGATGTCAACTGCGTTAAAATATATAGAAACAGCGGGGCTTTCAGTTCATTGTCTTCATAGATGGACAGCGATTGCAGACAGCAGTCTCTATATTAGTACCATACTAATGTCAGAACCGAGGGGAGGGGCTGGAACCGTGTGTATTCCGTTGCCTCTTGAAGTGTATGCTGTTGCCTCCTGCAAACAACCACCACTGGGTGATCAATTCCCCATTTAAGAATATATAACCTTAAAAATCCTATGAATGTACGAGATCCCTTCTATTGAAGAAAAACGACCAAACATACACTGAGTGTACAAAACATTAGAAACACCTTCCTAATATTGAGTTGCACCCCCTTTTGCCCTCAGAACAGCCACAATTCGTAGGGGATGGATTCTACAAGGTGTTGAAAGCGTTCCACATGGATGCTGGCCAATGTTGACTCCAATGCGTCCCACAGTTGTGTCAAGGCTTAAAAATAATTGTTTTACCCGTCTCCTCCCCTTCATCTATACTGATTGACGTAGATTTAACAAATAACATCAATAAGGGATCATAGCTTTCACATGGATTCACCTGGTCAGTCTGTCATGGAAAGAACAGTTCCTAATGTTTTGTACACTCAACTGTATTTTTGTTCAGGTTCTGTTCAGTCTTTCCAGAAGAGCGGAACTGGATTATAAAAGAATCATTTCACGGTGGACTTTCAATTTGAAGAAAAAAATAAAAAATAAAAGGGGTTTTCAACCTCCTCCAACCCCTCCCATCTGCCACTCCACGCTTGGATTTTCAGTCCCATTTCCGGACATCAGGCAGAACTTTCCCTTGACCTCAATCCAGAGACAGTGGGCATCAAACGGATCAACAGATTACAGTGCATTATCACCATGGCCCTGAGCACTAGCTGCTTCATGTCACACTCACAGAACACACTGATTCCGACTGTATTCTTCTTCTGCATAGTGCTTGGGTGAATAAGGAGTATGACATCAACATACACAAGATGTTGGTTTGCATTATACACTAGCTGAAAACTGGACTTGGTAATCAAGGGAAAATCCCCTTCAATTCAATAGACCAACAGCAACCCGGATCCTCTCACTAGTAAGTCATATATATATATATATATAAAACTCTAATTCCAGAAATCCCTGTGCGTGTAAACTGAGACATAGGATCACATGTCCAACTCTCAACCAATGGCTCTACTCCTCCTCTATCCAACATTAACTAAATGGGAAGCATCTACATTAATGTGATCCGGCATATGCATTTGTGTGAGAGGAGAGATAAATATGTTATATGCACTCTTTCCCTTACATATCTATAGAAACGTCAGGCAATTTCCAAAAGGCATGATGATAAAAGGTGGGTGGCAAAAACCTGTATCAATAAGATAGGCGCACAGCACTTGCCATAATAAATGTTTAAAAAGATTTCAAAATGACTTGACGCATGTTGATGTCTGGATTTTCTATAAAGAAGAACATGTTTAAATGAATGGCATCGATAGTTTGTCTCCAGGCCTCCCATTTATGAAGTTTCAAACATCTAGAATTATATAAGATAATGGACAGCATGTTCATTTTACTTTCAAATGAAGGCACAGCAGCGCTAATATACTAGTTAACACATAGTGTAGACAGAATCAGTGTGAAATGTATATGGTAGCAACAATGCTGAAATGCACCAACGATTTTTGTGCGACAGCTGACAAACCCGTTTTTTTGACTAGCAGGACATATAAGAAACAATATGCCACAAGATACAAAATTATCACAATGACTAAGGTATTATTTGGTGTGGTGACGCGACCACAATATTCTATCCTTTATTCATACATTACCATAACAGAATGTATTCATCCCAACACATTTAAACTACAAAAGGCAGCTCAGACATATTTGGTTTGAAAATTACTTATCTGCTAAACTATGGTCTTGCACACTCGTATGCAGAGAATACCTCTGAGTTATAAATCTGTACAAAACGCTCCTAACTGCTAGGCTACCTGCCGCCCCAATTATGTAGGCATAAATAAGTGTGTAGGCCAGGGACGACCAAACTGGAGCCAGGAACACTAGGGGGCCCCACCCCACAAAAAATGGTTTGGGCACCAAACGTGTAATTTTGAAATGTGGTAGTGCATCAACAGTTCTCTTGTTATGTCAGTCACTGACAGTCAATTAATTAGCCCATGTCAGCTAACATTTTAAAGATAGCTGGCTAGACACATTTTCCTAGCAATCTAAACCTTGTAGTAATCATGGCCCAATTACTGACCGAACACCCAAGGCACGTGCCTAGAGGCCCTGACCTCCAGGTGGCCCACATTGTATTTGTTAGTCACTCTCACTCAGATATCACATGAACATGGCATAAGTCATGGCAAAATGTGTCATAAGACGTGTTGTCTTCCAAGTCAGTAATTGAGGAAGTATCGCCAAGTAAAGGTTGGTAGAAAATTCTCTGTGCTACACTTAATATTACCTACCCAATAAAGCCTATCGGCCAGCTGGAATAGTAATAATGGTCTGACTAGGCAATATTTTTAGTAGCTAGCCTACCTTATGCCTTGAGTTTAGGCTAACTGTAATGCACTATCATAACCCAAAACGAAGGGTGTAGGCTATTAAACCATTGTTTGTGTTATGGTCTTTGTAAACAAGCAATGTACAGTATAGTAGGGTGTCCACCCACTCTGGTGATGAAATGTCACTTCCTTCTGTTATAAAATAAATTTTACCAAGACAAATATGATTATTCATATTCTGAATCGTTCAGTGGGGTCTTCCTCTAACACAGGGGTTCCCAAACTTTTTCCACTCGGGGCCCACCTTCCAGCATTGGGGAACATCCCGCAACCCCCCTGCGCGCGTGCCACGTCTATTTCTAAAGGGCACAAGCACTGTTCATGAGATAAACTGTTCACACCCCTCTTGTTGGTGGAGAGAATTTTGCAGGTATAAAACTTATTTCCTGCAATTCTACACATTTTGTCATGGGGTGCAAAGACATTTTTGCAGTTTTAAAGCTAATTTTCTTGCACTTCTATACACTTTGCCATGTCTAATGTGAATGAATGTGATATTTGAGTGACAAAAAAATGACAACAATATCTATGAGCTAAAAAACCTGAATATAAAAACGGTATCTGACATGGGCTAGTTGACCTGGACATTTTTGACAAGTTATAAATAGCTCTCTAAGGTATGCAATGGCTAACATGACAAGAGGAACTACTCATTTTCGAAATTGCATCTTGTGCATTATACTATTACAACTTTAAAGTTTAAAGCCGGACTTAGTTGGCCCTACAGTTTGGGAACCACTGCTCTAACATATTAACATTATATCCAAAAAGTCGGGTTTCATAACCTAATATCTCTGATAATAAGCACCAAGCTCTGTTGACAGAGGTGCAGGTTTCTCGTAACATGACGATTTCACATTTTGTGACTACATGTCATGTCTCAAAATGTATATCCATCTTACCTCTATATTGTTTTATGTCCTGTGGAATCGAGAAGAAAGATTATGAGTTCAACGGGAAAGTGAGCCTGTCAGGTAGCCAGTAGCCTTAATTCATGCACAGAATTAGTCACCATAATTCTGCCCATCCTACAAGGGTAAACACAGCAATAACTTGAACGGATTATGATACAGACATGAGGTTTGGACCATTGGTTTTCTTAGAGGATTATCTACACAATTAACATTATTTTACCCATTGGTCAAAATACGCGTTTTTGATTGGACACCTGATGTATAGCTTCAAAATATGTTCAAAACTCAATCTCACAGACAGTCCTTGCATCCATAGTTCGGTCTATA